AATGTAGCACTTGCATCCAAACACATGGAAATAGCTGATGTTTGGTTTTCTTCCTTTCCACAGCTCGTAGGGGGTCTTCTGATGATTCTTGTGGATCATGCTTCTATTTTGAGTGTAGCATGCAGTGTTGATAGCTTCAGCCCAGTATCTGATGGGCAGTCCTGATTCTGCAATCATAGTTCTTGCAGCTTCCTTCAGAGTTCTGTTCCTTCTTTCTGCAACACCATTTTGTTGGGGTGTTCTGGCAACAGAGAGTTGATGAAATGTGCCATTCTGATCACAGAAGTCTTTGATCACCTTATTGACAAATTCAGTTCCTCTGTCAGATCTGATTGTTCTAACCTTCATATTCTTCTCAGTTTGGAGTTGCTTTATCAGAGATGGCAACTTCTGAAGAGTTTCATTCTTCTTGGTTAGGAACACAGTCCAAGTGTATCTTGAGTAGTCATCAACCATAACAAGAGTATATCTTTTTCCACCAACACTGGGAGTTTCAACTGGTCCAAACAAATCCATATGGATCAGATTTAGAGGACAAATAGAAAGATCTCCAGCTATGGGTTTGAATGAGGTCTTCACTTGTTTGCCTTTCTGACAAGCACTGCAGAGGGTCTCCTTCTTGTAGACAATGTCAGGCAGACCATCTACAATATGTTCCCTTGCCAGTTTGTTGATGGTTTTGAAGTTCAGATGGCTAAGCTTTTTGTGCCAGTCCCAGCTTAGCTTTGAATTGTCCTTAGCTATCAGGCAAGTTCCATCTTTTGCTGTTTGCCAGTCAACAACATAGATGTTCTTCCTTCTCTTGGCTGTAAGAACCACTTCTTTGGTTGTCTCATGCTTGACATAGCATAAGGTCTTGGTGAATTCAACTGTGTAGCCTTTGTCACAGAATTGGCTAGCACTCAGCAAGTTGAACTTTAGACCTTTGACATATGAGACATCTTCAATGATTATCTGGTTCTTGATCAGCTTCCCTCTTCCTTTTGTTTGCCCTTCCTTGTCATTTCCACCGAAAGTGACTCTGGGTCCATTGATTTTCTGGAACTCTGATAGGCAACTCTTGTCACCTGTCATGTGTCTGGAGCATCCACTGTCAATATACCATTCTTTTTCTGAGATGGCTCCAGCACACAGTTCCTGCAAGATTAAAAGGAAGATTTAGGTACCCAAGCAATGTTGGGTCCTGGGGGGTAATGCAGTCTCGGTAGTTGGTACCATTTTGGTCTCATCAGCTGAAACCTTGGTGGATGGTACCCATTGTCCACCTGGTAGTTGTAGTAAACAGATGTATGATTCACTTTGGGCAGATGCTTGTGAGGATCATGCTTTCTGTTTGCATACTTCTGCATAGCCTTCTTTGTTGGAAAGAAGTCCCATATACTATCAAGATCAGAGGAGCGTTTAACTTTAGACTTCTGAGGTTGACCAGACAACCTCTTCTGCCTATAGTTAATCTTCTCTTGATATCTGCCTTTCTGATAGCAGTTTCTGATACCATTGTCATGAGATTGTCTGATAGGGTTAGGCCGTTGATTATTATTGTTCTGAAAACTTTTCCTTTTGTTAGAGTGTCTGCCAGGTTCATTAGTTTTCAAACTTTGTTTTGGTTTGGCCTTTAGAGTTTGTTTTTCTGGTATGACCTTCTCATGAACAACTTTAGTACCAGAAGTAATAGCATGGCAATTGGGGCTCAGAGTCTGTGGCACTATGACCTTTTTAGCTTTAGCAACCCGGGTGCTAGGCCTTACAGAAGGCTCACCAGACTCTGGTTCAACATATCCAAGGCCAGAGGTGAAGTTATGAGAGTCACCAATATTCTTCATGGAAGATTGCATCTTCAGAAGACTATTATATCTACTCTCAAGTTCCTCAATGTCTCTTATTCTTTTCAGAAGAGACTCATTTTCAGCTTTCAGTCTATCTCTTTCCTCAGTTAAGAAATTAAGTTTACACTCAGTCTCTTTCCTTAGATTAGAGATATCAACTTTCAGCCTACTGTTCTCTTCTTTAACAAAAGAATAAGTGGCTTGGATAGTTTGGAACTCTTCCCAGAATGATGACATTGGATCATCATTTAAGGCTGTGCCTACCGAAGAAGAAATAGAATCAGAAGTAGAGCATACCTCATCATCTGATTGTGCCATGAGGCAGAGGTCTTCAGTTTCTGCATCCAAGCAGCAGAATGCTTCATCAGAGTCGGAGTCTGAGCTGGACTCTGATTCAGAGAGTGGATCTCTCTGAGCTTGTTCTGAGACAAATGCTCTTCTTCTTCTGTGTTGATCATCTGGTTTCTTTTCATCTTCATGTCCTTGCTTCTTGGACACTCTTGGATAGGGGCAGTTTGCTTTGAAGTGCCCAGGCTGTCTGCAGTTGTAACAGAGGTACTCTCCATTGCTTTCAGAGGACTTGGTCTTCTGATGTGGTCTTCTGATGGAAGATGGACCCCTTCCATCTTTCTTCATAAACTTCTTAAATTTTCTGGCAAAAGCAGCCATATACTCATCAGATAATAGAGTAGAGGGGTCAAAGTCACTTACCTTTGAGGTGCTAGCAGTGAGAGCAGTGGTGTTCCTCTCATCAGGAACTTCTTCCTTCTCTTCATGCATCTCAAACTCATAAGCCTTGAGATCAGAGATGAGTCTTTCAGTGGCATAAGTCTTGATGTTCTTGCTTTCCTGGACTGCAATCACCTTCATCTTCCAGGCTGAAGGCAGTCCCCTGAGGATCTTCATGTTGACCTCTTTGATGGTGAGCTCCTTCCCAAGTTCAGAAATCTCACTGATGAGAATCAGCAATCTCTCATGCATCTTAGCAATGCATTCTTCTGGTAGGAGTTTGAAGTCATCAAACTTCTTCATTGCAATGGTCAGCTTGTTGTCTCTTTCTTGTTCATCTCCTGCTCCAATCTCATCCAGCTTATCCCAGATTTCTTTGGCAGTTCTGCACTTCTTTATTCTGTTGAAATATCTTTCATCAATAGCTTTGTAGAGAATGTCCTTGGCAATGTTGTCAAGGTTATACTGTCTTTTCTCTTCCTTGGTCCATTCTGACCGGGCTTTCTCAATCATCTGGGGTTGAGAGTTGTCAATAGAGTGAGCAGGATTGATCTTCATGAACTGGATGAAGGGGCCATTTTCCAAGACTTCCCACATTTCATCATGAAGGGCACATAGGTGTGCCTTCATTCTGATCTTCCAATCATCATACTTCTGATCTGTGAACATAAGATGCTTTGCAAGAGAATTATCCATAATAATAAATAAAGAGAGGCTAAGAACAAGTGGATCTTTGTTCAGAGAGTAACCTAAAAGATTACAAGAACAAGGAAGCTCTGATACCACTTGTTGGTCCCGTTTAATATGGTAATCAGTCTAGAGGGGGGGGGGGGTGAATAGACTGATTGGTTTTTCAACTTTTTCTCAAAGTCAAAACTGACTTATCAGAGAAGGTCTGATTCTGATGACAGAGAAAGGCTGGTTCTGATATCAGAACTGGCCTTGGCAGCGGATTCTGATCTGTCCGGGTAGCCTCAAAAATACTAAGGCAAATGCCTTTCTGATAACTCTGAAAACAGGATCTGCTGAACACAGATTCCAAATCTTAGAGTTAGTCAGTTAATATCCTAAGTGCAGAAATATAAATTGCAGTAAAGTAAATGACACCGGATATTTTTATAGTGGTTCAAGGAACAACTCGTTCCTCTAGTCCACTGTTCCACTAGCTTTGAAGTAGATCGGTTACAAAGCTAAATCCTAGCACTTAAGAAGCACTCCTCGTCTTCTTCAAGCCTAGATGCCACCCAGGATGCAGTTCCACGTCCTGATGGCTGATCCTTTCACTCAGCTTCCCGGAAGTATCACCACTTCACTACTGCAGTTACTTGGACGCCCTTCTTTTCAGAAGATCCTTTGAAAAACAGAGTTTTTCCTCCAACTTGCTTCGTTACAAAAGATGTTTGATGAAGTTCTTGAAGTGTTGAAGAACAGGATGAACTTTGCTTGTTTGTTGGGGATGAGAGATTTGGAGTTTTAATCTTCCCAACGTAAGTTTGTCTTGTTGAAGGTTGTAGAATTTGAATCTCAAGAGAGCTTGAATGATGATGTGCAAAAGTTGTAGCAAAGTTGTTTTCCAGCTCTTCGGTGTGTAGCTTATATACGGAGGTTGTCTGCCCGTTGGAGGAGGAGACAACTGCATTAAATGCGCGTACTGTTGACTTGACCGCCGTTTTGGAAGGTTTCTATTTTTATAATATATCTTCCCGGATTCCTTGGTCAATCATTTGCAATCAATCCTTCAGCGTATCAGGCTCATTTAATGTGCATTAAATGCTTTCCTTTCATGCACAGTCTTCTAGCCGTTGGATGTTTTACCCGTTGGATTCATAGCTGTTGGATGTTGCATGAAATCTTCTAAGTGTTAGTCGGGCTCTGATCAGGTTCTTCTGATATGTTGGATTCTGAAGGCTTTCTGATGAGTTGAGTTCTGATAGAGTTCTGTTCTCTGACTGAACTCTGATTCTGATAGGTCCGCTGATGAGTACTTCTGATCTGTAGTTCTCATCGGCTATCAGATGTCCAGGTTTATCAGCAACTCTCATGATGCAACTCTGATGGACTTCTGGTAAGAGAACTCTGATGGAGTAGTTCTCATAGAGCAAGTCTGGTCGAGCAGTTCTGATGCACTTCTGTTCTGATCCAAAATAGAGCAACTCTGATCGTCGACTACACTAATACTTACAATTGAAAATTCTAATACATAAAATCTAATTGGGGGTACTCTAGCTTTCTAATCCTATAGCATCATCAAAATCTAATTACATTTATTCCTTACAGAAACCACTATTCACGCAAAAGGATTAATAAAAGTTCACAACTTCGTATACTTATTAACCATTCCACAAGTTTCAATACATTATTCACTTAAAAGTAAATACATTTGGGGACGGTGTTACACTATCAAAGTTGCTCTTCATGCACTAGAAAGGCTGAAGCACCCAATGGCGCGTTCACATGCAGATGTGGCAAATACAACCATGAGCCTGTTATAAGGTGCTCTTACTATCGTATTTATATTAGTGTAAATTATTGTGAATAAAGTTAAAGTATAGATGTATGTTAATTTATTCTTAGCCTTTTTATAAGTCTAAATTGATATCAGAGCTTGACATTTTCCTAAAATAAAATTCATCGCCTATCAAAGATACAACTTTTTATTGTAGGGAAACACAATGTCCTAATACAATATTTTGAAGGAAAAATAAAACTCAATATTTTGATGTGTAACTAAGTGCTTCAAGGTGAGCAGCATCTTTGTTCATCAGTGGCGGCCCACACCTCAGAATCTGAAAATCAGATGCGGGTGCAGGACAGTGAGACTAGATTATTTCCTTTGATACGAAACCATCACCATCACTCCATACTTCAGTACGCAACAACAATAAATAGCTCAGCATATAATGTTAAATCCTTTAACAGGTATAGGCTGGAAGTCATGCTGTACAATAAAAAAGATTGCGACAAGATTGTACTGTGGGATCAAGAATGCATTCAGCTTCTTGGGAAGACCGCTAATGAGCTCAGAAACCAAATGATTGAAGTATATATGTCTTTTTGACACCGTTGTATATTCAAACAACATTTTTATGATAATTAAATGCATTTCTAAGGTTTTACCATTTTACTTTCTTAGGAAGGTGAGGACGATCCACTGTCTTATCCAGAAACACTTGATGACTTGCTTGGAAGAACTTTGGCATTTAGGATCAAAATGCAGCCAGCCTATAGTGCTGCATCCGTACAAAAAGTTTCCGAGGATGAGGCCGTTGTGCAATCTATATTGGGGAAAATTGACATGGATGAGGTAGGGGGAACCTATTAAATAATTTCGTAAAGTATTCATTGATTATAACGTTTCTCTCCAATAATTAATGCAAAGGTGTATTATTATAAAACATGGTTGAGTGTTACCGGACTAGACAAGAAATTTAACTTGCAGTTTTATAAGGACTGAATTTTAATGCATAGTTGTGGACATATATGTGCAGCAATCTTTGTCTGCAACAGCAGATCATGATCCTGAAAGCTCATCGGCTTCTGTTACACCTTGCAAAAGATCATCACATATGCAAAGTGATGATTCTCAGTCCCCAGATGAAGCCACACAACTATCAGCAACTAAGATTCAGAAGCGTATTAAAAGGGAGTGAAATAGTTACATTTCTTTGTCATTCCTTGCAGACAATATTCATCTCTTCATGCCTTATTATTTATTACATTATTAAGAAATAAAAGTGACCTTTTTATCTGCTTCGTTTTAGACAATATATAATTTCACTGTCCTTATTATTGCTTACATTCATTCAAGTATTCAATATGTTTGATTATTTTAGTTAGCTTTCTTCAATTTTTATTTTTTATTTTTTTTTACTTATTTCAGTTATGTGCATGTAATTTAAAAACACCTTTATTTTGTTAGTGTAAGCCACACTAAGCATCTCATTTCATTTCGCGCATTCAACATACATCTCTTTACGGTCTGACTTTTATTTTATTAGACTTAGATTCGATAATAGTCGACTTTTTTGTAGTACGAAGAGGTACGATCTGAAATGCTACAATAAACGGCGATGTTGTAGGGAAATGCCAAAGGCGAAAACTGAGAGAATTGCAATTGGGCATTTATGTCATTCTAGACTTTGCCTTAGACAAGGAAGAAATAGAAACACACGATATAATTTCTATAACTCTTACAAGTAAAGACATTTATTAGGAGCAACTAAGCTCAACCTTTAAAACTATTCCATTGATCAAAACTGATAACATGGTCCACACTAGGGGTGGGCAAAAATCCCGATCCCGGTGTCCCAAACCGAAAAATCCCGATACCGTTCCGAAAATTTCCCGATCCATTTAGGACGCAATTTTTTCATCCCGAACCGGTCCCGCATCGATATTAATCGGGACGGAATCGGGATAGCTATAAAATATCATGTCCCGTCCCGGTGTCCCGTTTGAAATTAATATGTTATTTTAAATTTCTAATGCTATGTAATAGTCAAACCCAATTAAAACTTCATAGTCCTTAGTCTCCCTAGTGTAATTTTATCTTATTTCATGTCTCTCTTAATCTCATTTCTTTTGTTTCTTATTTTGATTAAATTTGTTTATTTCTCATTCCAATACTAATCAATAATATATTATTACATGCGGAGTACTATTTATGATGGAATAAACTACTACTCCAAATTATAGTGTTGTTATAGATTTATTGATTTAATATTTTCCAAAATAACTACTAGAAAATATATACATATAGTGTCTTTATAGATATGATATTTAATTTAATTTAGTATTGAAAAATTACAAGTGTACTACAAATAAAGTATTAAAATATTTTGCGCTACTATTGTACTAGAGGAAACACAAGATTAAGGGACCAAAAAATTTACAAGACAAAAAATAAAAATAGTTAATTAAAGGTTTTACTTAACTTTTTAGTGAAGCTAAATTTGCAAAAATAGTTACATTTTTGTTTTGATGTTATGCTTATTTTTATATCACATTTCACAAATGCATATTTTATGGGACATCCCGAACCGTCCCGGTTTTTCTTGGGTTGTCCCGGTCCCGTTTTAAATGGGACAACATTGGGATAAGGACTTTTCCCGTACCGTACCGAACCGTTGTTATAAAACCGGGACGGGATCGGGATAGGCCAAATCCCGGACCGTCCCGGACCGTGCCCACCCCTAGTCCACACACTACTTTCAAAGGCGAAGAATTAGTACTTTTCCCTGGCCTGCTAGATGAATAAGTACTAGAAATAACGGCGGCAGCGTGAGGAATTCACAAACGGTGACTATTTAATTTTGAGCATTTCGGACGTATAAACTGGCCCCATAACTGCCAGAAAAAATAATATTTTAAAAAGGTTTAATAGCATTTTTGAAAAAATGGTTATTTGGTGGACAATTTTTAAAGCTCATCATTTAGACGCAATTGTGGAATTCCACAAATATAAGTCATAACTTTGAAGAGCAGCGTTTTTACTACTAAAATTTAACATTGTAACTAATGTTATTTTATGATGTGGTATTAAAAAAAACATTTATCACTTAGGCACTTCGTTCTCTTTAATTGCAACATTATTTACTTTAAAATATTCGTATTTTCTACTTTAATTATATATTATTTATTAATGTTATATTTTTTTTAGATCATATTAATGTTATATGTTAAACTTTGGGAAAACATTGTTAAGTTCCTCTTATTTAAAATTTTCAACATTTAAATCTCTTAATTTTCATAATAACCAGGATTGAAAGAAATTCATGATCAAATTTTGTGCGTTGACAAACCTAATAAAAGGACAATTATAATTAAAAGAGAAAAAAGTAATTATATATTTTCAAAAGAACCTATACTATATTTTAATCTTTTTGGTAAAATATACGTACTATAAGTTATTTTGGTACAAAATATTCCCTCCGTCCTGAAAAGATTTGCCAAATTTTCTTTTTTGGATGTCCCAAAAAGATTTGTCATTTCCATTTAAAGTAAGGAATATGTGGCTAAAGGTAATTCTCTCTCCTCTGTACAAATTTCAACCACACAATTTTTACTTTATTAATCCACGTGAAAGTCAAACTTAGCGAACCTTTTCGGGACGGAGTGAGTATATGATTACTGATTACTAAAAAGAGGATTTATTTAACATATCAACCAATTTATGAAGTGTTTTGGGTGATAATGTTTTTCAGCTTATCGGCCTCATCAACTAATTTATACATTTTGATTTCACGCTCTAAAGAGGATTTATTTAACATATCAGCCAATACATTTACTTCACACAAAACTTCCTGAATTTCAGCAGAATCAGCCAATTCAGCCGATTTTAGTGTTACCAAACGGCCTCTTAATTAAGTGCTCCGTATGATTTATTCTAAATTTGAAAGCAATGTACGGAGTAATTAAAAACGTAATTTTATCATACTTCTTTAACAAAACACGACTCTCACTTTTATTCTAAAAGTCAATAAAAAATCAAAGGAGTACTATACTAGGGTTTAGCACTTAAACCGCAGCAGCAGCCGGAGAAAAAAGAAACAGCAATACTTCGTTTTTCATTCCAGCAAAAAATTAAACGAGTAAAGGGTTAGTTTGATCCTCGAAGTTGCAAAAAAGGTGTCAAATAAGTCCTTATATGGAAGATTCTGTCCGGACGCGCCATTTGAGGTGGCTCTCAGTGGAATTTTTTGATAAATTTTTTTGAGCATCTTATTCATTAAGTCTAGTTTACTCATACCAAATTTCAGCCAAAAATTTAATCGGGAAGACATTCAAATGAATTCTTGAATATAACTGCGCTTTTAACGACACAATTATCTTCAAGAATTCATTTGCATGTCTTCCCGAATGAATTTTTATCTGAAATTTGATATGAGTAAACTACACTTAATGAATAAGATGCTCAAAAAAATCATCAAAAAATTTTACCGCAAGCCATCTCAAATGGCACTTCCAGACAGAATCTTCTATATAAGGACTTATTTGACTCCTTTTTTGCAACTTCGAGGACCAAACTGACCCTTTACTCGTTTAATTTTTTGAACATATAGATTACTTACTACGAAGTGCTTGATTTAAGTTCGTGCTTGATAATCCTAACCGAGCCAAACAAATTTAGGGAGTGTTTGCAATTGCTTCAACTTTAAAAAAGTGATTTTTTAAAGTGATTTTGGGAAAAGTGATTAATAGTAAAAGTTGGTAGTGTTTGAGAAAAAAGTGATTCTGAAAAAGTAAAAGTTGGTAGTGTTTGGTAAAATAAGTACTTTTGTGTAATAGAAAAAGTGAGAAGCAGTTTAAAGCACCCTTCTACCTGCTTCCAGCTTTTACCTTTTAAGTGATTAATTTAAGCAGAAGCTGTCATTTGAAAACACCTTTTTCAGCTTTTTTTAAGCCAAAAGATGAAAATCGCTTTTTTTAAGCAACCCCAAACACTCTTTTAACAGGCTGATTACAAACTTCCATTTATGTATGATTTCATTTGATATTTGTATAAACATACACAAGTTACTCTAATACAAAATATCAAGAGTCAAACCGTTCAAAACATATAGGATTTTACCAACCAAGGTCTCATAGTTTAAGATTATATTTTTAGAGTATGACTTTAGTATTTATATTGAAGCATGAAGTGATGAACATCATTAGAACTGTTACAAGAAAAATTATTGAATCAAAGGTTAATTGCAGTAGACCAAGTGATATTATGATTTGTCTCTTAAAGGAACAAAATTTCTTGCAGTTTTACATAATTGCAGGTCATATATATGATATAAACACATAACTTCATAAGAGCAGGCTTTTGAAGTTAAACATGATACCACACAGAGGTTAGAACATAAATAAATAGTACACTTTGTTATTTATATTCCACTTAGACTAGAATATATTTTACATAATCGCAACATGAATTTTCTAACTAAAAAATTGGCGCAATTTAATTTTGTTATTTTCTAATATATATCCATTGCAGAGCACGAGTAAAAATGGATGCAGCGGAAGCACGTCGCAAAAGAAAATCCATTCTGCATGCAAGAGAAGCAATAAGGGTCAGCAATGAAGAATTAAATAAGGGTATAAACAACATTTTATTTTCTTAATAAATACTTCAGTACCTTCTTTTCACATTTTTTGTGAATGCAGTAACAAATGTAGTTACAAAGGAATCTATAAAAAGTACTGCATTGCTGGACAACACAAGTTCTTCCCTCATTAGAAGGTAAACAATTGATTGATTATAGTATTATTAATATAATAATACTATAACTCTTAAGTGTTCATAACATGTTTACTCAAAACATAAAAGGAACGAGGCAGCAAGAGCACGTCTCAGAAGGAGATATATTCTAAATGAAAGGAGAGGTAAATTCATATATAGACACAATAAACAAGATATACCTTTCTAAACCCAACTACAAAATATCTACCTCCTGATGTATTCTACATTGCTATATACCATTAATATTTAAATCATTTTAACTTTTAAGATTTCCGTACAAACAAGAGTGTCGAAGGTTCTTCCCAAGATGTAGATACCAAAAGCAGAAAAAGTGTAGGGACATCAAATGAAAGTGGGCTGCCAAACTATGGTACATTTAACGAGTTATTTCATGTTTTATTATAACATTTATTCTATTTACTAAATTTACTATTTATTTTTATAACCTCATAGCAGAGTACTATTATACTCCTGTCCTTCACACAAGTGTCGATGCAAATACCATGGACACTTCAGCAGGCCATTACCTTCCACTCTCTAATATCACAAATATCATATTAAACAGAAGGTAATTAATAACA